GCTGTGTGGTTATAGGCTATATAGGCTGTGTGGTTATAGGCTATGTAGGCTGTGTGGTTATAGGCTATATAGGCTGTGTGGTTATAGGCTATGTTATAGGCTGTGTGTTGGTTATAGGCTGTGTGGTTATAGGCTATGTTGGTTGTGTGGTTATAGGCTATATAGGCTGTGTGGTTATAGGCTATGTAGGCTATGTAGGCTGTGTGGTAGGCTAAAGGGTGTGGTTATAGGCTGTGTAGGCTGTGTTGTGATAGGCTATGTAGGCTGTGTGGTTATAGGTTGTGTAGTTTGTTTGGTTATAGGGTATTTTGGTTGTGTGGTTATAGGCTATGTAGGCTGTGTGGTTATAGGCTGTGTTTGTTGTGTGGTTATAGGCTATGTAGGCTGTGTGGTTATAGGCTATGTAGGCTGTGTGGTTACAGGCTATGTAGGCTGTGTGGTTATAGGCTATGTAGGCTGTGTAGGTGTGGTTATAGGCTGTGTAGGCTGTGTGGTTAGGCTAGGCTGTGTGGTTATAGGCTATGTAGGTGTTATAGGCTATGTAGGTGTGGTTATAGGCTATGTAGGCTGTGTGGTTATAGGCTATGTAGGCTGTGTGGTTATAGGCTATGTAGGCTGTGTGGTTATAGGCTGTGTAGGCTGTGTGGTTATAGGCTGTGTGGTTATAGGCTGTGTAGGCTGTGTGGTTATAGGCTATGTAGGCTGTGTGGTTATAGGCTATGTAGGCTGTGTGGTTATAGGCTATATAGGCTGTGTGGTTATAGGCTGTGTTAAAGGCTGTGTGGTTATAGGCTGTGTTTGGTTGTGTGTTATAGGGCTGTGTGGTTATAGGCTGTGTTGGTTGTGTAGGGTTATAGGCTATGTAGGCTGTGTGTTATAGGTTATAGGCTATAGGCTGTGTGGTTATAGGCTATGTAGGCTGTGTGGTTATAGGCTGTGTTGGTTGTGTGGTTATAGGCTATGTGTATTGTAGGCTATGAAGGTGGTTATAGGCTATGTAGGCTGTGTGGTGTAATATATAGGTTTATGTTATAGGTTATAGGCTGTGTGGTTATAGGCTGTGTAGGCTGTGTGGTTATAGGCTATGTTGGTTGTGTGGTTATAGGCTATATAGGCTGTGTGGTTATAGGCTATGTAGGCTGTGTGGTTATAGGCTATGTAGGCTGTGTGGTTATAGGCTATATAGGCTGTGTGGTTATAGGCTATGTAGGTTGTGGTTATAGGCTATGTAGGCTGTGTGGTTATAGGCTGTGTAGGCTGTGTGGTTATAGGCTATTATAGGCTGTGTGGTGGTTATAGGCTATGTAGGCTGTGTGGTTATAGGCTATGTAGGTTGTGTGGTTATAGGCTATGTAGGCTGTGTGGTTATAGGCTATGTAGGTTGTATGGTTAAAGGCTATGTAGGCTGTGTGGTTATAGGCTATGTAGGTTGTGTGGTTATAGGCTATGAAGGCTGTGTGGTTATAGGCTGTGTTGGTTGTGTAGTTATATGTTGTACAGGCTGTGTGGTTATAGGCTATATATGATGTGTGGTTATAGGCTATATATGATGTGTGGTTATAGGCTATATAGGCTGTGTGGTTATAGGCTATGTAGGCTGTGTGGTTATAGGCTATATATGATGTGTGGTTATAGGCTATATAGGCTGTGTGGTTAAAGGCTATGTAGGCTGTGTGGTTATAGGCTGTGTTGGTTATGTGGTTATAAGCTATATAGGCTGTGTGGTTATAGGCTATATAGGTTGTGTGGTTATAGGCTATATAGGCTGTGTGGTTATAGGCTATATAGGCTGTGTGGTTATAGGCTATGTAGGCTGTGTGGTTATAGGCTATGTAGGCTGTGTGGTTATAGGCTGTGTTGGTTATGTATAGGTAGGCTGTGTGGTTATAGGCTATATATGGTTGTGTGGTTATAGGCTGTGTAGGTTGTGTGGTTAAAGGCTATATAGGCTGTGTGGTTATAGGCTATGCAAGGCTGTGTGGTTATAGGCTATGTAGGCTGTGTGGTTATAGGCTGTGTTGGTTGTGTAGTTATAGGTTGTCCAGGATGTGTGGTTATAGGCTATATAGGCTGTGTGGTTATAGGCTATATAGGCTGTGTGGTTATAGGCTATATAGGCTGTGTGGTTATAGGCTATGTAGGCTGTGTGGTTATAGGCTATATAGGCTGTGTGGTTAAAGGCTGTGTGGTTATAGGCTATATAGGCTGTGTGGTTATAGGCTATATAGGCTGTGTGGTTATAGGCTATGTAGGCTGTGTGGTTATAGGCTGTGTAGGCTGTGTAGTTATAGGCTATGTCCAGGATGTATGTGGTTATAGGCTATGTAGGCTGTGTGGTTATAGGCTATGTTGGTTGTGTGGCTGTAGGCTATGTAGGTTGTGTGTTTGTGAGCCGTATTTAGAATCGTCAGCTTTTGCTATTACATTTCTATTTAACCGTCTGTAAAAGGTTAGAGGAAACATGACCACAAGTAGGAACTGGCTTCACTTAAAAGACAATCAATGACATGTATGGCCGCGTGGTGTTAAAGTTTATCTTACTGTGGGGTCCCCGCCATCGTTTCCCTTTACCCCATCCACAGGCCTTGTGACCAAAAAATCATCAATATCAGCTTAATCACCTCAGTGATCCGACAACCCCAGACATTACCAACGGCCTGTATTTAAAGGGCCGTCATTCCAGATTCGTCCGCGGTTTCCGGTTCTCGTCTTACAATCAACCGGAAATCGATGGCAATAAACCTTCGTCTTATTCCGATTGGCTGATGGGCGGAAAGATATAAAAGAGGCACGGGAATATTGACTGGAGTATAAAAGGTCACAGAGTGGTGTAATTGGTACATTGAGGCACTCACAGAGCAAAGTCAACCACGTACTAACCACTTTCCCTGAAGGCTTACTCCACTATTTGAGTCAATATTTACATGCCTGGAACTTTTCACACTGTAGACAATGATGCAATTGAGTCTTTTGATGCTGAAAATGTATTACGAAAAATTCCTTTTGAAATCTGTTGGACGTCACATTGAACGAGTGATTGAAAAATAGGTCAGTAAATACCGCAAGTAGTAAATGTAGCACTTTCCCAAATCAAAATAACTGTGTAAATTGAAAGAGTAATTGGAAATTGGATGAACACTGGTGTCTAGGCATCAGTGTTGGCTGGAACTAATACCCCAAGACATTTGATTGAGGTCATGGGAAGGAATGCGACTGCAGTGAAAATGAATACGTAAATTATCAAACAGTTCAAGTTACTCAGTTCCATAAAATAATAATGTCACTGGCATTTGACAAGATAAATATGAATACATGTTCACAATTTTGGCATTATGTTTTCACAACCAAAACACCTGATGTTATCAGTGTTACGCTGTGTCTTAAATTATTTCTATAGTTCTGTTTGGGTGAAAGATGAAAACCGACGGCGAACATGAACACCCATTGGGGCAGTATTTTTCCCCGTCGTCCGAACAACTGTAATTTGGCCGCCGACTCGAAAATAAAAAAGATAGGTTCTTTTGTCATTTCTCCTTCTCGGACAAATATACCGACTGCTGATTCCATCAATTAAATCTTGTGTCAGTGATGGATGAAGGTTGTACGCTAAACGCTACAACAAGGCTAAGCGCTACAACAAGGCGAAGCGCTAGGCATTAACATTCTTCTTTACATTTCATTTGTTAATAATACACTATCACATATTATAGAGTAAAGTTAGAGTTATGTCGCAAGTTTCTAAAAATGAAAACAAGAAGCAGTAGTAGCAGTGTGGAATCGGAATTATTTTACTGCCGCTTCTCACTTTGTCTGTTCCCCCAATTGCTCGCCAGACCCGTGAAGATCCGGATTAGAATGGGTCTTCAGGAACCCATGCTTGTCTACCCGTGAAGATCCGGGTTAGAATGGGTCTTCAGGAACCCATGCTTGTCTACCCGTGAAGATCCGGGTTAGAATGGGTCTTCAGGAACCCATGCTTGTCTACCCGTGAAGATCCGGGTTAGAATGGGTCTTCAGGAACCCATGCTTGTCTACCCGTGAAGATCCGGGTTAGAATGGGTCTTCAGGAACCCATGCTTGTCGTAAGAGGCGACTAACGGGATCGGGTGGTCAGGCCCACTGACTTGTTGACACATGTCATCGTATCACGTTTGGGTAGATTGATACTCATGGTATATTGATCACTGGATTGTCTAGTCCAGACTTGATCATTTTCAAGCCGCCGCCATATAGCTGGAATATTGCTGGGAGCGGCTAAAACAACAAATAAAAAACAAAATCTTGCCAGTCACATACATCCGTGGATAAATAAATGAGTGAGTATGATTACCTTTCTGAATATTGAAGAAAATTAGTGAATGGCACTGTTAGCATTTGTCAATAAAACTAATGACATAGTGAAAACATTCCAGCCACGTGGTAAGCATGTTATGAGTCGCTTTAAGTCATATTCCAGCAGTACCACGGCGCAAGAAATGGAATCCAAACATCGTAACCATGTGGGAAATCGAACCCGTGTTTTCGACGTGACGAGCGAACGCTTCAACCACGAGGCTACCCCAGCGCCCCATCACTATCGTGGAAGTATAGGAGTAATGCGTTGCTGTTTCTGTTTCAGGAGCTCCTGACAACAGCTAACAATGAACCGGGAGGTACATTTAAAGGGAGACTACGCTGTGATTAGTTGGCTGTCCCCGATCTCATTCTGATCCCCGCATCCTGTTTCCATTCAACTGTTAACCATGAATTGGGAAAGAAAACTGATTTGGGTTGCAGAGGCTTGAAATCACAACAACTATCCTTGTGCTTTAGGGCTCAAATTTAACTTAACATATATCTATATGTAACGTAAATATATCAGTATCAAGTACATACTGAAATGTATATACCTGCAATATCCCAGTCTGTTGAATGACTGATTACTTTGTATTTTGTGTACTGCTCTTCATGACAATGGATGAAATTTAACTGTACTGCATCTCTATTAATTGAAAACGTAATATATAAACATGTGTTTATTTTGACTTGGCTAACACCTCACTCATAACATCAGCGTATCGTCTGTTGTAATTTCTGCTGTAAGTATGACCCACTGTGCCAACGTAATTCAACAATATTTCACTTTACGACTGTTCGTGACTGGGCGTGTGAGACAGTACCAGCTGGCTCTGCATGTGTTAATGGCGCACCACAGACGGGGACAGGTTGCTATATCTGTACATTAACCTGATGTTATCTGACGTATCAACACTTGGTAGCCAGCTGGGTACAAGCAGTTATCCGTGAGCGAGAATCATTTAACCCCCAGGATGTTGAGGTTGTCTTAATGCACACTTTTTCATAAGAATTGAATTATGAAAGTTGAACGAGAATTACGTTTGCATGGTACGGGATCTACCTACGACTATAGGATTACACAGATATGTAGACTATTAGACGGTCTTACAATACTCCTCCAGTATCAAGGCGGAGATCTATATACATACACAAATCTGGCTTCACACATTTTGCCGACATACGCAAGGAATACCTGGTCCTGTACAATCTGAATGTACCGAGTTTCACTTTAGCACTGAGCACTATAAGCCACAGTTGGATTTACGACGCCGTGGGTTTGATGGTGTAATCTGTAGAAGGTTGTTTGTCTTGTGATATTGGTACCCCGTCTGTTGAACGTTAATTGTTTGTCTGGAGATATTGGTACAGTCATATTAGTAAGTAAACGTGTTTTCTTCAGATAAGGGGCTCCGGGGATATTACTGTTTTTAACAGGTAAGCTATCAAGACTGTTCACACAGTGCGGCAAACCTCAGTTCACCTTCTTTCATTACATCTGCCCACTGCAGATATGACGAGAGTTTTTCCGCCTGCCACTCATACTTCACGATAAAATATTGCGCCAACTTTCTTCTCCTGCTACCCATTCGCGTCGTGTCATGTAAGTCCACTCTTTTATCTCTTTGTTGATTTATTTCATCCTGACACGGTTTTGTGACGTCATTAGCAATGACGTCACTTGGCAACGTCTCCCATTGAGGATCGTCAAAATTCAAATCTTCCGTGATGTCATATGGGCGTAGTGTTAAAGCAAACGTCCCATGAGTCTCCTTGTCATCCGTTTTATCTGACAATTCCGTCAGTTCCGCTAGGGGGAGTTCTGCGTCTGCTGTATCAAACTGTTCCCACTCTATAATCCACATCCTTAAAACCTCGGGTTTCTGAGCAATATCTTCAGGCAAGGGAAACGGAAGTCCATTAGGGTCACCTTGTCGGTGGCAAGGCTCTTCGGGGTCGACATGTCGGTACGCCGCTAACCATCTCTGCACCTGTTCCAGCAGCTCTTGTTGGTAAGGAGATATGTCCTCAGCTCGACTCAACTCCTGCTCGAGTCCTGCTACATCTTCCCTGATGTCACTCCAGAACTCCGACAGTTGTATTTCCTCCACCCTCCCCATCACATACGGCGACAGTGCCGCGTGTATTTCAGCCTTGCTGAATCCAACAATGTCCATCAGCAGGGGAGCATTTTTCTTCCATGTGTCCTCGTCCCCAAAGTCAAGATAAAGAGAAGGGTAGTGTTCCATCTTCCTTTGAAGAATCATGTTCAGGAAGCTCGTATTGTACCTGATCTTGCTGCAGTCGCAGATTCTTTTACCAAACACTCCCCACTCCACCCATCCCTGTTCACTGTTGTGATGACTTATCTGCCTGCGGGAATATGACGGAAGCTTCAAAAACTTTTCCTGTTCCTTCTCCTTGTCGTCTTCGACTGTCGTCAGCTCACTTGGCACTCCATTCACCATGGGTTGAAGAATCTGGTTCTGGTGCGCACCATAGCACTGAGGACTATGCGCTACATTTGGATACAGAACGCCATTGGTTTGACAGTGTTCTTGTGTCCTATCCTGCCGTTGACCATTGGTCGAGCAAGTCAATGCCGTTTGGCCATTGTAGCCACCATCAGTGTTGGTGTTTGTTGTGGCGACAGTGGCGGTTATGCTGCTTCCACTACAACCCATCGCGTGCAACCAGGCTTGAATTATTTGGCCATGAATACCTGTAAAGAAACAGTATTGTATCAAATTTGTTATATTTCCAGAAAAAAATATTCCCGTTTATCTAAAAACAAGTGTTTTCCTGTAATGAATGTCATCAGAAATGTTGTGAATTTACCCTTTTAACGAAGTTGACGTGTATATATCCTTGTAACATGTCTCGACTTGTCATATGTCAGATAATACCTGTGCGTACCATCATACAGACCATTCAATCTAATACGTGCTCCTGATTTTCACAGAAGCAGCAACGTTTAGGACATTCTTTTTTCAGGCTCTACTATCCCATCAAGATGACTCACGCCGGGATGTAACTGAATTGCTGTTCAATACCAAGGTAAACAGCATGTCTCAACCTCAAGCCTCTCTACACAATGTCTGTAACATATGGTTCACGCGGAGATTCTATTATCACTATGTCAGCTGCGCCGTATGAGGAAAGGAGGCCATCACACTTTCCTCAGCTACAACTTGGATGGACATGAGCAAAGGTGCCCCCCTACTCTACTGCTTTCCTCAGCTACAACTTGGATGGACATGAGCAAAGGTGCCCCCACTACTCTACTGCTTTCCTCAGCTACAACTTGATGGACATGAGCAAAGGTGCCCCCTACTCCACAGCTTTCCTCAACTACAACTTGAATCGACATGAGCAAAGGTGCCCCCTACTCTACTGCTTTCCTCAACTACAACTTGGATGGACATGAGCAAAGGTGCCCCCAACCTACTCTACTGCTTTCCTCAACTGCAACTTGGATGGGCACGAGCAATGGTGCCCACCACTCTACTGCTTACCTCAGCTGCAACTTGGATAGGATCGTCGATTGCATATACTATACCCAGTTGTTACAAAGACAAACGTATAAAGCCCAAATGTATTTCACCTGGATGTGTACACACTATAGAGTAGGACCAACTGTGTATGGGTTGTTTGGACCGGTGACAAGTGATGTGCAGTCACTGCTTGTCGACAACAGTACTAAACTGCAGCTGCGAATTAAACACACACATATCTCACACAGATACATGCAGTATCTAGACCGCTAGGCCACACACACCCCATCCCCACCCCATATTCTACTGCATTCGTTGGTGTATTGTCACTAATGTTGGGCCATTATTAACTGAGTAGCCTTACCTTCATATGTGATGAAATGACTGAACCAATGACACCACTGTAGGTGACGTGATGGCTTGTTTGGTGTATTTGGCAATGTCGGTGATGTTGGCCAGCATGTTGGTTCGTTTATATCTCACCTAATTACTGACCAAAGAGTAAAAAATCTCGGTTTGTCAGTCAAAATGTGACGCTCTTCCGACCCAATATTTAAGCACTAAATGTACAGTTCAAATAATGTCCTGAATAGATAAACAATTAGACAGTTTGACTGTGTATCTTCACAACATGCGCACCTGCTTAATAAAAATAATACAGAATATTTCACAACACGAATATATTTTTAAGGATTGGACCTTTATTTGTTGATGATAATGTGGCGATTTCTCTTCATAAGTATACAATGCAAAAGTATACAATGAAAGATGAGTAGCTCCCCTCGGATGGAACTATCAGAATAATGTTGTAAGGTTTGGCGAAAGGAAAACATGGCTTTGTTTATATCAATTTTAACAATTCTTATAGAAATAAAGTTAGAGTTTAATATCCTGTCATCACAATATTCTATTTACTTCTTAAAACATAAATTGTTTTGATAAATATCGAAAACATGGAAAGTGAATCGCAAAACGTTTGTGATGAACGCGCACCTGGCCAACCATTAGACATCATTGTTTTGTCCATACAACGACAGAAACAAATTCCATGACCAAAACAATTCCTTTAAAACATGTGTTCATATACATTTGAAACATATCAATAATTTGCTTGAATTAATATCAGTTTTACTTATAAGTTATAAGGTTAAATAAAATCGCTGTTCAGAAACCTGTTTGTATGAAATTACAACATTGATTATTGCTCTTCAAAGGAACTATTTAAAGTACGTGTTGCAGTTATTGCTCTTCAAAGGAACTATTTAAAGTACGTGTTGCAGTTATTGCTCTTCAAAGGAACTATTTAAAGTACGTGTTGCAGTTATGCCAACATTTCATTATACAACACCTGTGCAAAGGTTATAATATAAATATGGCGTACTAGGCTAAATGTGTCAATTTCTTGTGTAAACCATGTTCAAACAAACAAAAACTTTCAAAGGATAGTAAACTGCCTATGATATTGAACAAAGCAAAACGTACATAATGAAATTAGTTTCTTGAAGAGAAACAATGGGCAAAATATGCATTACGACACTGTAACTGTTTAAAGCAGCAGGGCAGTGTGACTGTGTTTAAAGAAATTGCGAAATATGTACAAGAATGTTGACGTATGACATCACTACAGTACCGGTGACCGCTTATTTACAAAATGGCGTGTTCGCTGTGGGAGAGACCTTCCCTTGATCCAGGGATCGTTTGTACATAAATATGTCATGTAAGTAATCGAAAACATCCTGACTATCTGCGTGTTGTTTGTTTGTTTGTATCATTTTAATTGTAATTATGAGAAGTTGTCAGAAATGTCGACAAATACCGATGTCGTTGTGCGTGATTTGGCGTCAATCATGGCGTCACGCAGGACGAAAACTTTGACAGTTTTGTTGGAATTCACATATCATTGTATTGTATCTACTTTTAATTTCCCAATTCTTGCTACAAAACTCTACCCATGCATATTCTAAAATACTGAGCCCGTGTATGCAGCGAATAGACGAATGAGTGTCTGAAACTTTAAGAAAATGTTACACAGTGTAATTCTGAAAATTCTTTGTTTACATTTTACACAAGCGCTGTCCTATGAGCACAGCGTGTTTTTTACATCCAGTACATTTCGTTTAATTTCATTTAGACACTTGGTATTGGTGACAGAGAACTTTTGTTTTTTGTTATCTTATTCTAAAACACATATGAGGAATTCATTGAAGCATTTGTCGCATCTGAATATCAAATATACGTGATGTAATAGGCGGTTCATGACCGGGCTTCACCAAGTGTGATTTTGTAAACACTATCCAATATGGCGGAAAATCATTTCGCGTTCGTGTTCGTGAATTTTCCAAAACATCACAAACGATTCTAGGTTTATCGGTGACGTTTTAGTATTACCACTAGTGATTTGATGAGAAACAGATATCAGTGATCACTAATATTCTACGTTAGAAAATCAAACCTCCGAGTAATTATTCGATTTTTACATTTCAAAGCATACACCAAATATGTGTTGCAATTTTGTAATGTGTCAAAAATGGCAACAGTTAATATGTACCCATTGTTTAATTTCTTTAGCTCAGATGGCAGTGGATGGTATCAAGAAACAGGAAATATCCCGCAGAATTCGAAACAGTGAAGTGTAGTTGTGTGCGTAACATATTTTAAATTTTATTAGACATCAAATTCAGGGTTGAAGTGGAACGTACGACACCCAGGGGGTTAAAACGAATATTTACTAAAACAGAGCCAATAATGCGCGGTAATTATGATATGAAACTGTAATAAACGTCTATGGAATCATACAATTTCTAAAAACTCTATCTCCCAAAAATATATACAACTTACTATCAGTCTTGTATTTCTGCAACTGATTTGGAACGATATCATGATAAAGTGACGTCACTTCTACCCAGTGTTCCAAGCGGCCAGCATAGTACCTCTGCATCCACATCTAATTAAACATCTTTGATAGAATGGCCTACTTTCATTGAGAAAATATCCTAAAACGTTTAACACTATGTCGATTTGCATAGTGATCCTTTGTTTACATGGGTTGTGCGGTTCTACATGTTGTCATCGAAGCCCTACGGAGAGAAAGCGATGCAGTCGCTTTGATGTATATAAATATATAGTATCATAAGCCTTACTGTCGCGGTTATAGCAGAATATCTACATAACAATGTAAAACAATATGAAGACCGCTTGCAATTATGAAGCCTCTTATAATTTACGAATATGTGCGTTTGTTTACAAACAAGAGAAAAGACCGGTCACGTGATATGCAAATTAGCCTGTGGTGGTGATATGCTAATTCATCACTGCACCGGAGTGTGCTGAAATACGTATATTGAGCAGAACACGGCGGATGTTACAGCGAGAAGAATGCGACTAAACGCCACATAAAAGTGACATTAATTTAGATGGATGTAATCTACCAAACAGCATGTCCAAGAACGTGCCTGCGTAAGAATTTTGGAATATTCATTTACATTTTAGTAACCATAAAACAATCTCAGAATCATCAGCTACACACGGTCATTTTCTAATGACGTAATACAAGCGCCTGTTGATCGCAGAACAATGTCCAGGTGATCACTGGTGCTAACTATCACTGTTAAATATAACGATGATACACCTAATTAATCTTATAACTACACTATACATAGTTTTTACACACAAGACACGTGTGCATTATGAAAGCACCAGAACGATCTCGGGGACGTGCACGATAAACGAAGGCTGTTCATTACCGACGAGATAAACAGAAATTCAGCAAACATAAGAATGAAAAGAAGAATTGTTAATGAATTAGTTCAAAATCTTTTTCCACATATATATTGTTTCCATATCCATTCAAATACACTCTCATACTGGCAAGGTGTACATATTCAGATAGAGACTCTGAGGGAATGTAAGAGTAGATACATGTCTTTCTGTGAGATAATTGAAACGCTACCTTTTGAAACTTAGGAAGGTATTCCAAGCTATTTCCACATGACTTACATTTTCTTCCCACAGAGGTTACTCCTGTCATATCTTCCTACATAACCTCTGTTCTAATACGGCCATATTTCCCGGTCCTCGTAAAATCCCCTAGCGGCAAAAGATCGCAACACGAATTATCTCCCTTCTTTCTATCCAATCAGAACACGTGTTACATCGACTTAGATTCAATTTGACTAACACAAGCAAATGCGGGGCCACAAATATCCCCCATCTGCCGGGGAATTGTGTTGATGTTACACACAAGACGTTTAATGGCTAGCTTGTCCGTTGTCAACGAGGGCGATGGAGACGCCATTGATACGCCATTACATGACTGAGTTCTGTCTAGAAGAAACGTTTGCGCATCGCGCTCGGGAAGAGGTTCTAGTTTTCCCGAAGCATACGGAAATTACCGAGGCCTTGCGAATGATCACTTTTGAAACAACGTCGCTAATTGCACAACTAAATCGGCTTGTCTCCAATCACGAGCCTTGAACGCTGACACCAAGAAAGGGTCGTATTAGAACAGAGGTTATGTAGGAAGATATGACAGGAGTAACCTCTGTGGGAAGAGAATGCATGACTTATAGTATGCCATATCTTTTATATGGAAACGCGTTGCGCAATGCATATCGACATTTCCTTTGAAGAGAGGCTTCGCCAATCTATTTCAAGTTGTGACAAATGACAAACACGGCTGAAAAATAACTTCGTGTGTGGCCGTGTACGCTGAAGGTGCTTCCTGATGTATACCACTGCTCGTGAACCTGCTATGTATACTCGTCCATCTGCCACACGACCGCATGTCAAATAGATATACTTAAATAATTCATACCAACATGACTTAATGATTTGGTCAAGACAGCACCACAGCGGTACACGTGCATATACACATGTATGTCCAGTACAACAGGATAAGCCTCACCTGTAATATACTCACCTGTTTGCCTGTACAGCAGTTCCGTGTCAGCGCCTACCTTGAATAGCCATATATCAATACATGTATCGAGCTATGTACGTAAGCTAAATAGGACACAATTACCCACATAGTATCGACAGAGAGAGTATCTGTTATGGTTACGAGCATTGCCACAGCTTAACCTGTTGATATCGTTCTATAGCAAAGTCGCGTGACATAAGGAGCCCTATTTACGCTACACGACTTCGCAGATCTTGATATACGATATATTAGTATGGTTTATTAATCACATTGTGTAAATATCTGGAAATAACATTAGTAAAATTTACACAAACATATACATCGATTCGTAAGAGATACATGTTTGTACATATTTGTTGCATACGTGGAATGTCCTCGAAAGCGTGGTTTCACTCCCACATATGTGGTGTCACTCTCAAATATATGGTTTCACACTGAGTCTCACATATGTGGTTTCACACGGAGTCTCACATATGTGGTGTCACTCTCAGTCTTACATGTGTGGTTTCACTCTGAGTCTCACATATGTGAACATCTTCTTTTTATTCTTGAGTACAACGTTATTACAATATTAACCCAGAAAAACCTCTATGTTCATCAAATAGCTCACATATGTGGCTCACACTGAGTCTCACATATGTGGTTTCACACTGAGTCTCACATACGTGGTTTCACTCTGAGTCTCACATATGTGGTTTCACTCTGAGTCTCACATACGTGGTTTCACTCTGAGTCTCACATACGTGGTTTCACACTGAGTTTCACTTACGTGGTTTCACTCTGAGTCTCACATATGTGGTTTCACACTGAGTATCACATATGTGGTGTCACTCTGAGTCTCACATATGTGGTTTCTGAGTCCCTCATAAGTGGTTTCACCCCCACATAAATGGTTTCATTCTCACATTTTGTGGTCTCACTCCGAGTCTCACATATGTGGTTTCACACTGAGTATCACATATGTGGTGTCACTCTGAGTATCACATATGTGGTGTCACTCTGAGTCTCACATATGTGGTTCCCGAGTCCCTCATAAGTGGTTTCACCCCCACATAAATGGTTTCATTTTCACATGTTGTGGTCTCACTCCGAGTCTCACATATGTGGTTTCACACTGAGTCTCACATATGTGGTTTCACACTCACATACATTTTGCCCCCAGACATTACTGCACACACTTGCTACCTTATGACAGGTGAGACCTCGTAAATATACCTATGGAAATTACTATTAACAATTGGCCGCTATTTGTAACATTGTGAACAGCTGTTGCTTTAAGCTATTGCGGTTCAACGCATCATTCAGTATACATCTAGGCTGATTCCTTCCTAGATAGAAGTCCACTGACACTCCTGAGTGGTCAATCAGAAGCTTCCATAGTCATCAGTTGCACATTGGTCCTTGGCAATGACTATGTGAAAATATATGTACTTTGTTCCAAACTTTAGTTGCTCAGTGTCCATTTGAAGGCCTCGTTGTTTAATAAGGAAGCTAGTTGTGCATTAAAGGGTCTGAAGAAATTATCGAGTAGGGCTCGTGTTTCCGGCCACATGTCACCGAGCTGTTTCCCAGTTTCTGTTCTCTGATTCTCGATTCGACGTCCAGCAATGTGTTTCATCTCATTGTCGGACGGCAACCCTGAATAACACAAGACCACATTCTGTTTAGGCTAAGTCCGTTGTACTTATATTCTTTTTCAAACTGCCTTCTTGGAATTTCCTACATTCAACATGTCAGTTTCGTTTAGCACGTATGAGCCCAGTTGTGCTTCTGGTGTTCCTTTGGCGCATAGTGAATTTATGGACTAGGAAACGTTCAAGCATTCATGGAAACTATTGTGAGTCAGTAGTGAGTCGGGACAATGCCACTTTAGAAAATGTATTGTGTTCACGGCGAATCAACATTGTTTAGGGAAAGTCCAAAGTCCATAGGCATTTGTTGCATTTGGTGGAGTGAGTGAGTAGTATTTAGTCTCAACAATATTTCAGCAATATCAGGGCGGGAGACACCAGAAATGGGCTAAATACACATCGTACCTTTGGCGTGACGAGTGAACGCGACAGCCACTAGGCTACCCCACCGCCCGAATCACTACGGTAAAACTCTGAAACTGTCACAAGTTAATGTTTCACACATGTGAATAGGGAAAAGTGCACGTGTTACCTCGAGCGGTGCCACTCACCATAAAGGAAGCAGTTTATCTTTAAAAAACAAACTTAAAGTTAAATACTTGCCTACTTCGAGGAAATTGTAGACGCCAGCAAGAGTATCTTCTACATGTCTAATGTAGTGTTCAAAATGTATAACATGTATCTGTTCTCGAGGGAAGACTTTCAACCAGTCGACCAGGTGGGTGTGGTAAATGCTGGAACGAAGGCCGATCTGTAACAGATATTTTTGTCATTGTGTACGTGTAGAAGCAGCGTTTACCTGATACCTATGGTGTATAGCAGGAGGATAGTATCAACGATGGGAAACATCAGGCAAGGTAGATGGAAGTGACAAATCTCTACCATAACACCCGACGAAACATCCGCCTGATGATTCTAAATACGTCGTAAGTGGCAAGGAACCACTGGCAATCACTGGTGACACCGGGTGCACGTATTTCGTACATCAACATATCAAGTAATGACCAATGCGAGCCACAGGCCTTCGTGTCTTTGCGAGTATTAAACATTAATTTTATTGTTTTTATATGACCCCCGACTTGAAATGCTTCACAGTTCAATAAAGTCATGATATATTGTACTGTGAAGCATTACGAGTTGGGGGTCATTTCAAACAGAAACTTTAATCCTCGCAAAGACACGAGAACCTGTGGCTCGCATTGCTCATTACTTGATATGTTGATGTACAGAACGTTCATGTACCCCCCTCAATCGTCACGCTGTGTACAATACAAGCAACATAAGCCATTCCTATTCAATGTCATTGATTAGGTGATAGTTATTATGGGTCACAATGTTTAAAGTTTTGAGTGTGGGTTTTGGCTCGCATCTCACATCATATATATGTTCAATGGCAATAGTATTTTTAGCGGTACGCATTTGGAAATAGTACTTCAGAGTTGTCTCTATTTACCGCTTTCCACATGCCCTGGAGTTTTCAACCGATTTCGACGGATTACTAAAAAGTTCTGAGTGGATAATGATGCTGCCTAGCTTTGCTAGAATGCTCGAGAACTGTGTAAGAGCTATATAAAGGCTGGTTGTTGTGTTGTGCGACAAGGAATCACATGGGACTTTTCATATGACTGGAGTTATGTACATCTGTCTGCCATCGTCAAGACCGATCGTTCTTGCCTATTCGTCTACTGTCATTGTAAAACAACCTTTAATCAGTATATGTGCTCTCACTGTAAATGTCAAGACTGGTGAGTTAATATCTAATATTTGTGACCCAATATTTTAGATTTGTGACTCAATTGCATTGTACCAGATATCTGTATTGTCATTCATTGTAGCTTGCTCATTGTTTGTTCCATAGGCGCCAGACTCTGTATATTGGATAATATAGTTGCACGTTAAAAGAGGTGGGAATAATAGAAGACGCTATCCAATCAGAGACTCGCTCTACTATTCGGTGCGGGTCTGTAGCCTGAGATTTGTTTACTCCCGGGCATATGTCCTGACTTGGTGCGAGAATGGACGGCAAAATTATTCAAAGCTTTAAATGGGAATAAAATCACCAGGTTTGTGATACGCAAGGTACTTTACAGAGGTCAACTGCGTATAAATTGTTCAGTTTATTCAACGGTCAAAGCGATAGAAGCGTTTGTTTGACCGAAACCGAGCCGAGCCGAGCCGGGCCGCCATTTTGTTTCGATTTACTGACACACCTTTCTTATATCTTATACATATAGGTGATACTTTTAAATATATCAGAGTCGGGCGCCTATGGTTTGTTCAATATATTATTCAATATTTTAGACTTGTCTGTGTTCTATTTTGCTGGTTCAAAGGGGACTCTTAAACCTTTTGTCACGGCAAATTATTAACCGTAACACTCCTTGCTTATAACAAATGAATGCTAAAACTTGTGTCCGTTGTATTGAAAGTGCATGCTTGTACTTAGAAGTAATATAGACCCCAATGGCTGTACATAGTTCGTAGAATATCGCTCGACAGAGAAAGCAGAGTAATTGAGGAAATATTGTGTCAGTCTGAAGCTATGCGCAAAGATTGTGTAATCTACAGGTGAAGCGGTTTCACTGGTGTCCTCTATTTCTAGTAAAGCATTTGAAAGGGACTAACTAAATTCTTATTTGACTACTATTGTACAAAATCAGACCATCAATATACATTAAGTGTAAGTTCAATTTCTTTGTCAAATTCGCACGTTTTGAGTAGAGGAAGGTATGATTCATATGAATAAACGACCTTATCTATATGGAAATACTACTTCTTGCCTAAACCTGGGGACGTTTCACATATTTTGTTTTTCAATAAACTTTACCCTGGCGTTGCAATTGCCACTTTTGACATATTTTCTCGATCCCCTGAGGCTACATATGGAACTGTATTTATGGTCACGTGACATATTGCCCTCCAGTCCAGAATTACGTTTTACCCTGTACAACCCAATATTTAGTGTGTTTTTTGTTTTCACCAAATACCTGTCTAAAGACAAATGGCGGAACCATTCACAAAGCCACAAGGCTTACCGCTGTAGTGAGGTAATTCTCCTCCGTTGTGTTCATGACGCAGGAACGGAGAGATGAGAGTGACATGCAGTTGTGAAACTCGGTAATTTCGTTGAACACTAGGTTATGAAAATGTTCCTTGGAAATGTTGTACTTCAAAACTCGAGCCTTCATGATGTAATAGGAAAACGACCTGCAACAAGAATTAAACCCGGTCAACAGAACGTATTTCAGGTCCCTGGCGAGTAGGTTACGTAAGCAGATGACCAGGCGCCACCTGGTATAACTGTAAACGATTTAAGCGTTGGTGTTATGGTTATAGAGAGAAGTCTTGGAAGGTGACTCGGTAAAAGTTAGCCCTGTTATGCCTCTCTGCTCTGCTCGGTGATGGTCCTAATCATGACGTCTGACAAAATGCAAAACAACCGAACATTATGTTGGTGGTTGCGTCGGTGAAAGTTGCCCGGTCACTCGTACCTGGATGTAGGATTCCTCAGTGACACGATTATCTTTGCTCTGGGGTTCATGTGATGTACTATGTTAGCGTTGGTGATGCATGGCTCTCCACATCCCTCGTTACCAGGCAACATGTTCCACCAGGCGTTTCCGGACATGGTCGTGGTTGATCCGTCCCCTACGTATATAAAAAGCTCAAAAATAAATATATTTTCGTCAACGTTTACATCGTGCTTATACGTCTTCCCAATATCACATGAGACATTAAGAGGAATGTCGGTCTGCCTGTCACCTGTAACACGTCAGCCCAAAAGATGTACTGAATGTATAAAATATATATCATTTTGTGTATCAATTAATGATATAATTACCGCATATTCTGTGGACAGCCAACCTCCAATTATTCATGACCTACCTGTAATTAGTGAGCTAACGTTGCGGGCTAAGTAGTCGTCCTTAATCGTGTCAGAGGAGGTTTGAAGAAAGTCAAGGTAGGTCTCAATCGATGAACAACCTTTTTCTGAAATATAGAACTACATTTATATACGGAACTACATACAGGACACACCACTTCTAAACAAAGGGCTGTTTGCATGCGAGTGAGTGATTTAATGTCGCACCGTCACTGTTACAGGCAAGTAGCGAGGAGAGATGTGGTATGTCCAGCAGAATACTGAACACCACGTGTAGTAGAAACACGTACAGTTCAACGTACAGTCTACACACAACCAAGTGTACCACAATAAAAGTATTTTAATACAATCCATGCATTCGTACATCCAATGCGAAATCTGAATACTTCTTGCGAAGTTTGTAAATATTTTTGCGAACTTTTGAAATATCATACGACCTGGGTGTTGACTTGTCTGATGTGCCATATACGTTGGCCAATGTGCAACATTAAGGGCGTCGGCTGTTCTCGGGGATCACGTAAAGCATCGGGTAATGCTCTGACTGGACGGTTTCTTACATGTGGTGAGACTTGTGCAAGAAAGATCTTCATATCTATTTATGTTTATTATTGGCATGTCGGTGAACTTAACCACTTGGCAATCTGAGTAATTTATTAACTCCTCTACACGCAATTTCACAGTGAACTGGACTCTTTTCGTGGTCAGTGTAGAAGTGGATGACTTCTCTGGAATACAAGTGGGTCGAATTGCGACAAAACATTCTACCAGCTCAGATTGATGTTTTACGTGAAAGTGGTATGCCGTGACCACGAATGGTTTCTTGGTCTTAATAATTCTACATTATAGAGGAAGTGACGTGATCGCCATGTATAATCGAAGCAAACGAGAGAAGAAATTAGATATTTCCTTTTTCTAGACATACATGCTTGAAATAACGAAACATTGACTGGAATAACGAAACATTGACTGGAATAACGAAACATTGACTGGAATAACGAAACATTGACTGGAATAACGAAACATTGACTGGAATAACGAAACATTGACTGGAATAACGAAAATAATTGCCAAATAACAAGAACAAGACTCAAAATTTCGAAAAATATTTTGAAATAACGAAATATAGTAACATATGCAGCGTTGGGAGCGGTGGCGTATTGGGTTAGATCGCAGGCTTTTAGCTGATTCATTCTTAGAATGTGAGTTCGAATCCAGAAAGGGGTACTGGAATCTGGAAACAGCATGTTACATCTAACCACTTTCCAAAATACATTGTGTATTCAACGAAATTAATACCTACATACTGAGAGATTTAAAAAAATATTTTATGGTACCAAGCGGCATCATATGGCTTTTGTATTCAAGTACATGAATGGAGGGATATGATATTGTACGCCAGTTTCCAAAGGTTCATGAAAATATGAAACATAATGTTGTTTGACAATCCTTTTCGATTAAAAGTCTTTATGAAGTTTCTAATAACCCTTGGCTTTAAATCTTACGAAAACCACCGGATGACTTTCATCCAACACCTAAATTTGTATCAATGACAACTGAACATGTCCAAAATCTTTTTCTATAAATTCAAAGAAAGTTCCCTCTTAATTCTAAGAAGGTGTGTGGTGAGGTAAGGATTTGGCAGTACATTGTCAGCTGGATCCAGCAACCTTCTGCCCTTGAGTTCGTCTTGACGTAACAAACCCAGTAAAGGCCACGAGTACAGGTATGGAGCAATGCGGTGTCACATTACTCACCCCCTATGATGGCCCTCCCGGCGTTGGTTTTAGATTCCCTACATAGTTTAAATACGATGAAAGAAGCCATTTCTGTCGTGTGCTTTACTTGTGATTCTTTTCGGTTTTGTATTGCTTGGCCGACTGTAATTTTATATTATATGTTCAGCAGGTGATACTAACTTACTAGTGATCCAATACGTATGCTACATACTTACGAAACCGTAGAGGAAAAACCCAAAATGGTTCCTTTGTTATGGGTGACAGAATACTAGGATGGTGGGTGATTCTGGAAAATAAGTCTGTTGTTCCACACTTTGCTTGACCAATGAGATAGAAATACGGCAAGCACCTCAGAACTGGCCCATTCTCCGGGTTAGCAGGCAGTTTCAAGGCCTTGTTCATCAGCGTCAGTTTGTCACAGGTGGTCTGGGGTGGATGCTGGTTCCACCAGCAGGGATTCCTCATTGACTGCACTGTCTCTGGTAGTTTCTGAAATGAATGAGGCTGAAATACATCGACATTAAAGCGATGGAGCCTGAATGGTGTTAAGAGAAAGACCTTGCACTCTATAGAAGATGGAGATGTTGACAGATGAATAAGGTGGTTACATGAAACATTGGCGTTTAAAGACAAGGAAGGTGTTCAGAAATATCAAAGGTGGTAACTGAAGAAGGCATTATCTATTGGCAACAGCGCTAGCGGTTGATGTCTGTCGACGACAGTGGCGATGTCAATGGATAACAGTGATGCAAACGGAAGATGGTGATGTGAGTAGATAACAGTGGTGTAAACAGAAGTATGATGTGAGTGGATAACAGTGGTGTAAACAGAAGATGGTGATGTCAGTGCATAACAGCGGTGTAAACAGAAGATTGTGATGTCACTGAATAACAGCGGTGTAAACAGAAGATTGTGATGTAAGTGAATAACAGCGGTGTAAACAGAAGATTGTGATGTCAGTGAATAACACCGGTGTAAACAGAAGATTGTGATGTCAGTGAATAACACCGGTGTAAACAGAAGATTGTGATGTCAGTGAATATCCGGATATAAGCGGTGTAAACAGAAGATTGTGATGTCAGTGAATAACAGCGGTGTAAACAGTAGATTGTGATGTCAGTGAATAACAGCGGTGTAAACAGTAGATTGTGATGTCAGTGAATAACAGCGGTGTAAACAGAAGATTGCAATGTCAGTGAATATCTGGATATAAGCGGTGTAAACAGAAGATTGTGATGTCAGTGAATAACAGTGGTGTAAACAGAAGATTGCAATGTCAGTGAATATCTGGATATAAGCGGTGTAAACAGAAGATTGTGATGTCAGTGAATAACAGTGGTGTAAACAGTAGATTGTGATGTCAGTGAATATCCGGATATAAGCGGTGTAAACAGAAGATTGTGATGTCAGTGAATAACAGAGGTGTGAACAGAAGATTGTGATGTCAGTGAATATCAGCGGTGTAAACAGAAAATGGCTTGGTATCTACTATTATAAAAGACTTCTTTGAAATTGTTTTAGACTAAATGCATCAAAGAACACCGATACGATAATCAGATAATCAAGTACATTTTGTGTCCAAAATCGTTTGAGTTTGGAATTTTTATCATTTTTTGTATTAAATCCGAACATGTAATTGATCACTTAAAGACAATAACACATCGAAACGACATGACTTATGTTTGACTCTATTGACAGTGAATAAATTCCACGTCGCTGCATGAGTTGAAATTTGATATAAGGATTGTTACAACAGCAGCTCTGCAGTAGAGCTACGTGCCTCTGACTGACGCTCAAAGGGAAACGGGTGACTGAGAAATTACGCCATTAACTAAACTTCCGGACAAAAGAAAGTTATCAGCAACTTCACTTGAACTAAAATAGAAACAAAGACGTATGGGAGTTTTATGATAATTATTTTACAAATAGAAATTAGTTTCCAATAATTTGACTGAAAATTCACTGTAATGCTGGTCTAGCATTTGCCGCAATTCATTAAGAAACAGCCAAAGAGTCAAATCAGAGCTCATTCAAAAGTTACACAAATCAGAGGTCATTTAAAAAGTGCATAATGAGTCACTTAATGAGACAGCAGTCAAGGTATACGTCATCAATAGCGAGTGTGACCACCCTGGGCATCCATACACGCCAACACACGTCTCCTCATTGACGTCGGCGGATGACATCAGCAGGAATCCTGTTCCATAAGCCTAAGTGAGTCTGCACAAGTTCCTGTCGGTTCGCTGGAGGTGGTACTCGCTGTCTCAGCTGACGATCAAGATGATCCCAGAGATGTTCAATGGGGTTCATGTCTGAAGAACGCGCTGGTCAAGACAATACGTTGACGTTAACGTTGTGCAGGTATTGTCGAACAACTCTGGCGGTATGAGGCTTTGCTTTCCGTGCTGCAAAATTGCTCCACTTGGCCACTTGGTTGTCGAAGAAAGGGCACCATGAAAGGTCTCCAGACTCCAGTCTCCGTGTATCGCTGGGCATTCAGATTTCCTCGGATTATTACCAGTCTTCTTGTTCTCTGGCCACAAATGTCGCCCGGAACGGATGAACTTCATGGACGCAGTTGGACGCAAATCGCTCTCCTCTACGTCGAAAAGCTCGAACTCTGCCAATGTTTCTGAACAGACTGAGCCGACTTTCGTCTGTAAACAGCACTCTCTCCAAGTCAATCCAATTCTTTATTTACCTTTAGCTGTACAGCTAGTCGGTTGTGAACGTGAAAATATACATTCTTAGTACAGACAGGGTGGTTGGTTTGGTACAATTTATAAACAAACAAAAGGAGAACATACAAACACATTTTACAGTAAAGTTAGTCTTAGCTGTGAAGCCTTGAATAGGAATTTACACAGATTACAGAGTGGCTTAACATTTTGGATACTTAAGAGCTGGACAAGTTTCAAAACTGGTGGATTTTTCCAATAGTAAGGCTTAATATACAATTTCCTTTAATCTTGATGAACAGGACATTTTAATACAAAATGGAATTCATCCTCTATATTATTAGGACATGACAGGCATGTTCTATTGGTCATGTGAATATTATTATACCTTCCTGTTTCAATATATAAGTTATGTGAAGAGAGTCGAAATTTAGTCAAATATATTGTATAAATTGCAGGAATTGATTTTTGACGATAATATTGCAAAGTGAAAGTATCAATAACATGTTTATACAATGTTTATAGCGACAAATCAAGTCGCTGCCACCGACGTACAGTTCGTGCCCATTGCAGTCTGCTTTGACGATGTAGTCGGGTCAAGACCATCCACGGATGGGGTGGTGGGCTCGTTCATCAGCCATACCAAGTCATCAAGGACTGTTCGTCTGCTGATGGCGTGTTCTAGTGCTGTCGCCACGGTTGACGCCACGACTCTGTCCCGGAGGTGGATCTGCCGGATGTAGCGGTGTTCGTGACTCTTGGTCCACCCGATCTTGGGTATGGCTGTTTGCTGGTAGCGATTTGTCAATTCGCTGATGGTGGCCTGGCTGCAGTTGCAGGTTCTTGCCAGCTGACGTTGTGAATCCCCCGTAACCGATCGCCTTGTCTCGGTATTTATGCCACATTCATACACGTGCATTTGGAACAATGTCCCACGGTTACCTTTCCACGTTTTGAAAAATGCACGTTTCGCAGACAGCTGTGGTGATTTCCAAAAATTTCCAATTTGGAAATATCATATTTCCAAAAATTTCCAAAATTGGAAAGATGATGTTTCCAAGGGTTGGAAACTTTTGGAAATTTAGGAAGGATTTTACCACTACTTCTTTCAATTTCTCCTTTTCCCGAAGGATCCCTGGCCCATGAGTGTATAGACTGAACTATTTCACGAATCTTTTGATCTGTTAGAGTTCTTATTGTTGATATACATAATGTATCTTGCATGTGACATGTTTATTCATGAAAACTGCAGGAATAAGCCATATTTTCATATTATCCCTTTGTGCTTGATATCAATGCAACTGCGTCTCACGCTTGAAGTGATACATATTTTAAAGTTGGGATTATGTTTAGATTAAGTGTTTACTATTCGCCGTCCTATGCGACCAACTAGGAACCAATTCTATATATTAGTTTAACTTCACTCATCTGCATTCTTCTTGTTCTATGTGTCAAAAATTGATATTGACTGTTCTATTTACCGCTAGTATGGCGAGCATTTTCAAAAGTCAGTTTCAAGTGTATGTTTTTCCACAAAAGTTGTGATCACACAAAAGCGCAAATATGTTTAATCCCCTCATTTTCGTATGAATACAAATTCCATACACCTACGCTATATGGACTATATAACAGTGTACAGATATACTGACTGACTGAGTGTATTACATGCCATAAAAGTGAACCCGTGCCATGGCGTAATGGGGTATTCCCGTGAAGTAGGATTTTGTTATTACAGTATAATCTCGTTCAGGTTGCGTCGGTGTTGTTATACGGGATTAAGACACTGGGTGCTATAAAATTCTGAACTTGTTTTGAAATATGATCGAATTTACTGAGTTAATTTACTGAGTTAAGCTCACTGAGATTATAATGATACTGATTCATGTGTTCACTCAACGTCTACGGGGATGATACGTTCTACGTCTCGCCAAAGGTATTGATTAATCTACTAATCTACTAATATCTAACAAAGTGCTAGAGTTTTGGGTGACCTTCGTAGGGTCAGTAATAAGTTGAAATAGGTCATACATGATTTGCAAATTATGTATCTTATTATTACTTGGCGTGTTGGCATGGCAGATTTAAGAAGATAGTTGAAAAGGCCATCCAAATGATAGTTGAGATATATTTCACATGATATGTTTCATCTTGTGATGATTAATTGTGGCAACACCAAATATATTATGTCATGAAAATGTCAAATATCAGTTTAGGCTTATTTCATTTCTTTACCCCTTCAACTTTTCGTATCAACCTTGTGCCTGTTAAAACATTAACTGGCCTTTGTTCGAGATCACCAGGTCTTGGAGGTAATCACCCTATGTTTTTACAATTCTGCTTCATGGGAACTAACCGTAGTAGAATACATTCTCCAATTAACACCTGTCACAAGGGAGAGGCCATTTGAGTTTGTGCAATCTGCGTATTCACGAAAATCTCATGAACTTTGGTTGTGTTGTCCAAACATGTGCGGATTGAAGCAAATACTCAAATGAATTCCCTTTTTACTGAATCATAAGTGTATCTAGATTAATTTGATCATTTACAAGAAGTACGTTACAGAATGTTTTAATAAAACATTCATTATAGATCAAGAGAAATCAGCCCACAAGCTCACAGATGATTCCAGAGACAAATATACATTTGAAAGATTCCAGTTGAGACAAGACATTAATTTCATAATAAGCCAGCCAATAGACTTTATGTTAATTAGGTAAAAATCGTTTGATGTTTTATGTTTTGACAACGGTGTTGTTTTAAGGGATTCTACAAGATGAAAAAACGTGTTCACTCAAGGAAAGAAATATGACATGTATACCAGACTACCAGTATGAGATTGAATCCATGTTAGTGAGTTCACACAGTCACTTTGATTTATAAATTAGTTCACTCAATTCATAAGTTGTGAGTTATTCATTTTCTTGCAGAAACTTGCTATAAGAATTTTGGAAATTACAGTTTTCACCATTATTTCCACAAATTCAGTTATGGTAAATGCACAGTTAGACTAGAAGTTTCTTCCTACTTTTCGTGGTTGAAGATATCTATGTGTAAATGGTTACCGGTATATGTTCATTCTGAACAAGAGAGAAGGAGAGAATAGATCTCATGGAGATGCAGTCAGAAAGACTGCAGAGCAACAGTCTCAACATTGAACGACATAATGTCTAAAATTCCTGGCCCGCGTTTCACAAAAGCCTCCTAAATTTAGGAGGTTGTAGACCCTACGACCTTGTTTACGACCCTCTTCCGACCTCCTTTACGACCGTTTCACAAAGACGTCATATCCATGTCGTACGACGCGGTCCTAAATCCATGTCGTACATTGTATAAGAGGTACTTTGTTGCATAGCAACGCATAAAGCGAGACCGAACGGGCACCTGCTTATCTTGTTATTCCCAAAGTATTTCAAAATAGAAAAACAGTTTGAATAACAATGCAAATGTTATGTTTTTAATTGAATGTACAGGTTATCTTATGGTAAAAAAATATCAATAAATGAATTATTTTGGATTCTCTCACTAAATTTCATTGAAAATTACAAGATAAAATGTATAAATCATTTCCATTAATATTATCAGTTTTACTTATAAGGTTTGAATTAGATCGCTGTCCATTAACTTGTTCATATGAAACTGCAATATTAGTCCCAATGTATTGAATATTGCACACTATAGGACATAAAGTCAATGTTGCAGTTATGACTACGCTTGATCTACTAACACTTGTGTAAAGGTTTAAAATGTGGTGATACTCTAAATGTGTCAATTTCTTTTGTAACTTTTATTCAAACAATCAAAAACTTTCAAAGAATAAAAACGTATACCCTGTATCCACGTATGATATTGAACAAGGCTAAATGTAGGTAGAATCTACTGAAATTGGTTTCATGAAAAAAAATATCTGAATGATACGCAAAATATACATCATAGTACTGAAAGTGTAATCAGAAGGATAGGACGATTGTGTTTACTTTTTTTTCATCCGACCTTCACCTCAAAGATATTGCCTAATATGTGGTACTACAACAATGTTGACGTGTGACATCACAACCGATGACCGATTTCTTACAAAATGGCGGCTTCGCTGACAAGGGTACACAGGATTTTGCGAGGACTCTTCCATGATTCAGGGATCGTTTGTACATAAATATGAAATGTAAGTCATCAGAGTGACTCTGACTATCTGTGTATTGTTATATGTTTCCTTTGTAAGTAAGAGAAGAAGCCAGAAATGCTGATAATTACCGTTGTCGTTCTGCGTGATTTTGCGTCTGTTATGGCGTCACTCTGCACGGAAACTTTGACAATTTCTTATGAAGTATCAAATCAAATCATTGCATTGTATCTATTTTTAATTTCCTCTTTCTTGCTATGATACTCTTTCCATACATATTCTAAAGGTATTGAGCCATTGCAAGCAATGAATAGCCGGCTGCTATGCAGTATAAATCGAATCTTTTCTTTGTTTACATTTCAAACTACTAGCGCAGTCTTCCGAGCACAGCGTTTGTTTTCACACCCAATATCCAGTTGGTATTGGTAACAAAGACCAACTGTGATTTGATTCTAAAATGTATGGGGAATTCATTGATGCATTTGTCGCAGCTGACTATGAAATATACCTGATGTAATAGGCGTCTCAATACCGGCCTTTGCGAGACGTGATTTTGTAAACACTATCCAATAAGGCGGAAAGCGCACTTCGGCGTTCGTGTAAGTATATTTTCGAAACATCCAAACCGATTCTAGCCCCCTTGATGCCACAGGGACATATATGTCCTTCCCCTTCAACCCTCAATTTCAAGTCCAATAAAAATCAAAATATCCAACGCACACAAATACACTTCACAGTTTCGAATTCTGCGGGAAATTTCCTGTTTCTTGATACTATCCACTATTATTTTAACCAAAGCTCAAGTAGTGAAAATGACCTTTCAAAATAGGCTTCATCGAAAATGCCGCCATTTTTGACACAGTACGAAATCGCGATTCACAGCGTTATTTGCTGTATGTTTTGAAATGTGAAAATCGGATAATTACTGGGAGTATTGAATTTCAAAAATAACATATTCATGATCACTGATATCAGTTTTACATGAAATCGCTAATTATAATTCTGAAACGTTGCCGATGAATCTAGAATCGGTTGGGATGTTTTCGAAAATGCACTTACACGAACACCGTAGAGCGCTTTCCGCCATATTGGATAGTGTTTACAAAATCACGTTTCGCGAAGGCCGGTATTGAGACGCCTATTACATCACGTATATTTCATAGTCAGCTTCGAAAAATGCATCACTGAATTCCCCATACATTTTAGAATCAAATTGCAACTGGTCTGTGTCACCAATACCAACTGTCTAGATAAAATGAGACGAAACATATTGGGTGTTAAAACGAACGCTGTGCTTGAAAGACGGCGCTTGTCTGAAATGTAAACAAAGACAAATTCCGATTTTACACTGCGTAGCATTTTCTGAAATTTTTCAACATTCATCCGTCAATTCATTGCTTGCAATGGCTCAATACCTTTGGAATATGCATGGAAAGAGTATCGTAGCAAGAAATAGAAAATTATATATAGATACAATGCAATGATTTGATAATTCATAAGAAATTGTCAAAGTTTCCGTGCGGCGTGACGCCATGACTGACGCAAATTCACGCAGAACGACAACGGTAATTATCAGCATTTCTGGCTTTTTCTCTTACTTATAGTGAAAACGATAAAAACATATAACAATACACAGATAGTCAGAATCATTCTGATTACTTACATCTATATTTATGTACAGACGACCCCTGAATCATGGAAGGGTCCTCGCAAAATCCTGTGTACCCTTGTCAGCAAAGTCGCCATGTTGTAAGAAATCGGTCAGCGGTGTGTTAGAGGCACAAAGTGATTAAGCCGGGGACCTAATGGAAACGTGTCCGCTAACATAACAATGGTTTGCTTAGCCAAGCCCTAATCGGTAGAAACTTAAAGTGTACTTATGAGCCTTGATGGCCAAAGCTTAGGCATTTGAAAATAACACAGTGTGAACCAAGGTTTTTACATAGTGGAAAATTCAGCGATCATTTTGTTTTTCAAGGATAACCCTGATATCCAGAATAATACATAAGTTTCTAAGGAATCAAAACATTTCACAATTCCATATTCATATTTCGAAACCAGTAAACTTTGAAAAGATTCAAACTTACAGAACCTATTACAATTGAAAGGAATGTATTGAAAATGCTCTATGATTAAATTTTTACAGAGGTTTCAACTTTTCAATTCATGCAAGGACTTAACTCCGGTCAATGCATACATGAAACAGGTGCCTGTGCATACGGTTTGTACCTACCGTACTGAGCACGTTGAGGTCTCTCCAGAAATCTTCGTCGTTTCGCCCGGCCTTGACATTGTCCTCTAAGTTTTTAGCAAACAAAATCCGTGAATTATTGACTTGGTGGTAACTTTCCTCCAGTACCCCAGTTTTGGACAACAGCATTGTCTCAGATGAGTGAAACACATTGCTAAGTTCTGAAAATTGCAACATGGAAGATTTGCGCAGGTAAATATAATAATATAGAGTCCCCAGAACTGACACAAGAAGGATCATGGTTTTGAGACCCTTCCCCATTCTGCAGCATCGGTTGGTGCTGACTAGCAGTTGGAGGAAGCAGGGCGACTTGGACAGTATTACTCTGTAGGTTAGCAATCAGCGACAGATGTGGCGACTATTAATTAAGTCACAAATAACACATCTGATATTGATTAACAGCTGTGTTGGAGCACCTTTGGAATACAGCACCACAACTTCTCGTGAGGACGATCTCTGCCGTAGGTCACATGTCATTAAGACAAGCAACCAGTTTGTGAGAACCCGTCGGAAGCGAACCCGCGACCTTCTGATTGTTAGCTCGACAGCTAACCGACTGAGCTACGTCCACACTGTGGCACAATGTGCAAATTTATCGAGTCACTCCTGTGATGTCACGGAAATGAACGGAAAGAGTCGAATAGGTCACAGACAATTACGAATGCTACGGGGAGACTTGGTGTCTCGTGATTTTATTCTTCGGACAATTGCCGAATGGATCCGATGCCATTTGGCACACTCGTCCCATTCCGTAATCTACAAATTAACGTGTGGCGTGGAATGAGCCGGTATGCCTCAAACTGAAAAGGGTTGTTGACGTCAGGCGTCAGACGTAGATTTCACGGTGCATGCATGAATGACGCGCTTTTATATAAATTGGTGATTTTGTGACAGAAAAGTGATGTAGGGAACACTGTAAGGATAATGTGGATCGCACTAAGGAACGAGGGAGACATGAGCATGTGTAGTGACGGCACGAGGGTGAGTTAGCCTTCGAATCATTACTTAACAAAATTTATGTTGCGTGTGAAAGAGGCTTGAGTGCAAATTCCAGGCCAATTTCCATTAGCCCAAAATTTCTACATTAACCCATTTCATAATGTACTTTCGACGTTTTTGGTTTCCCGTTTTTGTGTGAATAAAAAGGTATTAAAATGGAAAAAGGAACAACAACAAATGGTACTCACGTATTACACCGGACATGTACCTGCTATATTGGATTAGGTCCCTAACCCTAACCCTAACCCTAATCCTAACCCCTAAACCCTCAGCCCTCAGCCCTCAGCCCTCAGCCCTAACCCTAACCCCTTGAAATAATCCTAATAATAGAATGCATTGACCGACCACCGGACATGTACCTACTATATTGCATTAGGTCCCCAACCCCAACCCTAAGCCCTAAGCCCTAAGCCCTAACCCTAACCCTAACCCTAACCCTAAGCGGACAGCGGCCTACCTTTAGAATACAGCACCACAAACTTTAAAAATACGTCATAATACCCTTTTACGTAATGTAATGTGATTTTGTTCGAAAGCACGTTCTCGAAACAATGCCCTATGACGCCTGCATGGCAACACGGTTGTCTGGCTCAGCGAGTGCGTATAAGCTCCGCTCACTGGTGTTTCATCTCTACGAGCTATGTCATTGCATAAGCCCAACGATGTTGAGAGTTTCCAGTAGTTGTATACCGGCAGATGCGCAATATTTTGCAAGCACCAGTTTGAAATATTTTTCTTATTTCACTAATACGCTCATATGTATTTGTATTACGGGCTGCTGAGGTGTTATGTTTTGTGTATTTTGTAATTTTTTAAATTTACATATATATTTTTGTCATTCAGTAATTTGCACCATTACATAGAAAAGTGTTTTATTAGTATTTTATTTTTTGAAGCGGTAATAATGCATTACACTACACACGTCAGTCGTGTTTGTGCTGGTTCGGTCAATGCATTCTATTTATTAGGATTAATTCAAGGGGTTAGGGTTAGGGTTAGGGCTTAGGGTTAGGGTTTCGGGTTTCGGGTTAGGGTTAGGGACCTAATCCAATATAGTAGGTACATGTTCGGTGTAATACGTGAGTACCATTTGTGGTTTTTCCTTTTTGCATTTTAATACTTTTTTTTCACACAAAAACGGGAAACCAAAAACGTCGAAAGTACATTATGAAATGGGTTAATGTAGAAATTTTGGGCTAATGGAAATTTCACACGCAACATAAATTTTGTAAAGTAATGATTCGAAGGCTAACTCACCCTCGTGCCGTCACTACACATGCTCATGTCTCCCTCGTTCCTTAGTGCGATCCACATTATCCTTACAGTGTTCCCTACATCACTTTTCTGTCACAAAATCACCAATTTATATAAAAGCGCGTCATTCATGCATGCACCGTGAAACATACGTCTGACGCCTGACGTCAACAACCCTTTTCAGTTTGAGGCATATCGGTCCATTCCACGCCACACGTTAATTTGTAGATTACGGAATGGGACGAGTGTGCCAAATGGCTTCGGATCCATTCGGCAATTGTCCGAAGAATAAAATCACGAGACACCAAGTCTACCCGTAGCATTCGTAATTGTCTGTGACCTATTCGACTCTTTCCGTTCATTTCCGTGACGTCACAGGAGTGACTCGATAAATTTGCACATTGCGCAACAGTGTGGACGTAACTCAGTCGGTTAGCTGTCGAGCGGGTTGGCGTCCGACGGGTTCTCACAAACTGGCTGCTTGTCTTAATGACACGTGACCTACGGCAGAGATCGTCCTCACGAGAAGATGTGCTGCAGTATTCTAAAGGTGCTCCCTCCGTCAGATGCAGTAACAACAATAACAAAATTGCGCGTATATTCTGCCTAATGTCCTACCAGTGCTGCTCAGTGGCGCTGTAGCATAAAAACCAAATTGTGAATTTGTGAAGCTAATGGGGAACATTCCTCAGTTATCTCCCTTTACAGCTTCGCCAATAGATGGCGCCAATCACTACGGTCCTAAGTGTACTTCCGGCATAATGATGGCGTTCAAAGTTTGTCGCACGGTCGATTTCAAATGCGCAGCAATATTACGATGGCTGAAACGTGCTGCCGTGCCTGGATGCTGCAATAGAGGTTCGACGTGTCCGAGAGGTCAAAACTTGCTGAAGTGGTGGTTGACTATCATTCGAAGTAGCGACGAATGAAACAAAAGCATGACGAGGTAGCCGCCAGCTCTCGCTGGTCTCACTCTCAGTGTTGTGTGCCATTTCCACTTCTTACAGAGCGATTTCGTTACTGTAACTAATTATGGTAAGTACCACGTATTTTGTAACATTTACAGTTTGAATAAAACGTTGTTATTGTTTTTTCCTTGCCAAATTTAGTTAACGTGCATGCCAACCGAAATTACGAGCAGGGATTTTGAATCAATTCAGGGAAAAAGAATGTGTTGCTTCAAGAGGGGAAAGACTTCCGCCCGTATCCCCCCTTAAATTTCATTCTAGTCAAACCATATCACCTGAATGTATATTTCTCAGCTGATAAGGATGAATTTTAACATATTTCTTTAATTGAATCTGAACATACTGAAAGACATGTCCAACTTCTTAAAATGCCACTCAAAGAAATATTTCCTCATCGTTATAATTTAGGGGGGATACGGGCGGAAGTCTTACCACGTTGGTTCAACATTTTCCACCGTACTTGAACACAGCTATTGGATTCTAAATTCAGGTTAATCTATTGAATTAATTTTCAACTATATTTCAATTATATATTAGCAAAGCATTCATCACTTGATATGGCCTGTTGATTTTACCTGCTTGTCTTCTCCCATACAGCACCTGGTCATGCATCTTAAATACAGTTGTCAGTTTGACACTGAGTTACATTGAGTAATCTACTTAAAATTCTAATGTATGGGATATTTCCACATATGCGTATATATCCTGATGACAGGTAGGTAGAGTAGGCAAGTAAATTGGAACAGACCCCAATTTATTATTTTTAATGTTTTAAGGTAATTGGCATTTCATAAGTAAATTTTCATGTGAACCTGTGTAAAAAGCAAGTTAACATCATTATATACATGTTTGCAAAGTTGTTTATGTTTGACAATAACACTTTTGCTCCCTTCATTGTTGAGTTTATTTAAAAGTTTATCAAGAATGCTAATACACAATTGACTTTTCCCTTTATACATCATATTACATCTCTATACAGGTGTCTGTTGTCCACAAAGATGAGGCCCAGGTGATTCCAGAATACACATGATACAGGTTAATGTTTGTTTACTTTTGGTATGAATTTGTCTGAATAATGTCTGGTGTACTTGTTGAACACACTTCTTTGTATCAGACATATCTCCCTAAAGAAAAAAAACATTAATGAGGAGAGTTACTTGCTTGATAACGGTGTTAGTAGCTACACCACAATGTGGCTCATATTATATTAAAGAAGTATCCATAGAACTCTCCTTGTTGTTCATCACACCAACTTCTAAATGCCACTCAGAGAAGGAAAACATGTCAGCATATTTAAATTATGCTTCTCCATAGTTGAAACATTTGTTAAGAATAATGTTTTCCACCTTTGACCTATCCGAATGAAAATGTTCATTGTGTGACACGTCTTTCTCCACAATAGTAACTTAAATCTGATAATGATACATTTTCTCATAACTGGCAGTCATGAGATAATATTACCCTGTATCAGTTTGGATAGTAATACTCCACTGATGTTTTCAAGGATGAACATGTCTGAGGCAACAGAGAGAAACAGATGTTGTATGACCAATTCTTTCCCTGGACTGTATCAGCTGACCCACTTAATGCTGGTGGATACTTGTGATGTTGAATGTAACATCAGTGAGGTCGCTGGGGAGGAAACAGTCACCCATGATGATTTTGATGGCAAGAATATTGAGCCAAACATTTTCTCTCCAGACTGGTCACAGGCCAAATATGAAAGTTACTGTATATCAACACAGAGACAAACATGCAGTGTTTCCAGTACTAACTATTGTGCTTAGTGCTGCAGCAATTATCATTTACACAGGACTGTCAAACTATTCAGACTTCACTGTTGTACTTCCATTTTTGGTGCATATGCATGTCACCTAAATTATCTGTACAGTAATATTGACAGTATGATTATCAGTGTGGAAAACATCAACATACATCTGATGTAAGTGTTAATTAAGGTTCTTCAAAGGAGACCATCATTTGTTACTGTATGTATGTCTATATTTATGAATGTCCATACATGCAGAATATAATATGTTGAACAATAAAAACTGAAGTCACAACCGAGACTTTGTTGATTTTTGTCTGATGATAATTGACACATGAGGGGTAATCGTAAGTATTGTAGAATCTCGATTGTACCATTTAGACTACCATTCAAAAGCTAAAGTATTCCTTGTTTCAGTATTTCAAATACACACTGTGTTCACTGATACTGTGAGTCAATTATAATTGTGATGAGCCTTGATGTAATTTGCAAACCCTTCACAAATGCTGGAATAACAAATGTGAAATATTTGTATTCAAATTTAAAAGGCTCCCACCTTAAAAGACAATAAACCCGGTACCCTCTTGCTTCTGACATCAGATAGTTCAGACCTCCAGTAATGGTTCAATGTGTTTATAATATTTCAGTATTTCACTCATGCTTAGTTACATTATTTTACAACACCTGAAACACAATTTCAAATACTATTCTTGTGTTTTCAAAATGTGATCTGTCATTTAGGTACTGGTTATTTGTGTTGAGAAGAGACAGCCTTTAAAATGGTACAGATTGGGGTGGGGTCCCAAATGATACTTAGAAATATATTGTGCAAGCAATATGCCAATTTACTGTACATTTGGGGGGTTGAATAATGGCCTAAGGGTTCATAATATATTTGGGGGATGTGGAGTGTGAGGTGATGATGAATTTAAGGGGGATCACCTATTTTGTTCTGGAAAGGTGGAGGTCATCAAATTTGTACACATGTACTAGGGGGGTAAGCAAATTTGTACATAAAAAAGATTATGCTTAAAATTATTTGTGTGTGTGGAGGTGGTAATGTGTGTTTGTAATTGATTTTGAATATGACATATGCAAAGGGGGTGTCACTTACTTTGTACATGAATTGTAGGGAGATCATTCACATTGTACATGCTTCTCCTTAAAAATCATCATCAACCCCCACCCCATTATTTATTAACGGTACTTAAACATGTATGTAGAAACTATAAACCGGAAGTTGTGTGCTTATTTATCGTGTGAATGGGTGTAATATATTTTGTTGAACACATTGTCAACGAGTCGTTAATTCGATAAAACTTATTTATGTTTCAAATCCTCTCGAAAACGATCCGTTGCCATAGCATTTCCTCTTTCCATTGCATCCAAAAGCGTTATAGGCTATGAGAATAGTTTGTTTACTTGAACGAAAACTGAAGCACTTACGTTGTGCGCGTAATCAGGTCAATGCTAACAGAGACCATTCTATTATATGGTCTCTGATGCTAACGTTATTTGTCTAACGCTAATTTCAGTGTACACTAATCCTATGTTCTAACAACTATTACGACGGCATTAATGCTCTGTGTAATGTGACATAATAGGGTGTAAATGGTTTGACGAATTTACAAAGCAACTACTCGATAAGAAATTCCGATAAACGGCAATATTACAATAACTGCAGTACCGTTCTATTAGCATTATTTTTCGTCCAGACACCCTAGTTCTTAGTGCTTTGACAACAGTCTTCGGTCGGGGCAACTTCCAGCTTCCGTAATTCGTAATATAAGAACCACAGAGTAAAAAGTAGGTTTAATGTCGATTTAAGTTTTGGCTTGGCCGATAGGCAGGCCTATATGCCAGTATCAGAGTGACAGCTGCTGTTGGACCGTAACTACCGCAGCGCTCCAAGCGGGCAACGGGGCGCAACTCCAGGAATGTTCCCCATTAGGGGTCTCTTGAACTGGTCGAGGGTTGCTGCAGATCTGGGGCTGTGAGGAAGAGTGTTCCACAGTGCAGCAGCAGCAGAGTGACTGCAACAGATAACTGTCAGTGTGTCTGATAACAGAGTGTCTCATCTCAAAGATCTCTCGGGCTGTATATACTATGCTCATGATAACTGCTGAAGTATACTAGAAGTACTGATTTCGACGTGCTCACAGTACTGGCCAACACGCGTTGTAAGAGCATGCTATCTCATTTCCAACACAATATGTCGACAGCACTAACTGACTACCATACTTACTTCCAACACCATATGTCGACAGCACTAACTGATTACCATACTTACTTCCAACACCATATGTCGACAGCACTAACTGGCTACCATACTTACTTCCAACACCATATGTCGACAGCACTAACTGACTACCATACTTACTTCCAACACCATATGTCGACAGCACTAACTGGCTACCATACTCACACCATATGTCGACAGCACTAACTGACTACCATACTTACTTCCAACACCATATGTCGACAGCACTAACTGGCTACCATACTTACTTCCAACACCATATGTCGACAGCACTAACTGGCTACCATACTTACTTCCAACACCATATGTCGACAGCACTAACTGGCTACCATACTTCCAACACCATATGTCGACAGCACTAACTGGCTACCATATACTTCACACCATCAACACCATATGTCGACAGCACTAACTGGCTACCACTTCCAACACCATATGTCGACAGCACTAACTGGCTACCATACAGCACTAACTTCACACCATATGTCGACAGCACTAACTGGCTACCATACTCACACCATATGTCGACAGCACTAACTGGCTACCATACACACCATATGTCGACAGCACTAACTGGCTACCATACACACACCATATGTCGACAGCACTAACTGGCTACCATACACACACCATATGTCGACAGCACTAACTGGCTACCATACACACACCATATGCCGACAGCACTAACTGGCTACCATACTCACACACCATATGTCGACAGCACTAACTGGCTACCATACTCACACCATATGTCGACAGCACTAACTGGCTACCATACTCACACCATATGTCGACAGCACTAACTGGCTACCATACTCACACCATATGTCGACAGCACTAACTGGCTACCATTCTCACACCATATGTCGACAATAACTGGCTACCATACTCACTTCTAACACCATATGTCGACAGCACTAACTGGCTACCATATTCACACCATATGTCGACAGCACTAACTGGTTACCAGACTCACTTCTAACACCATATGTCGACAGCACTAACTGGCTACCAGCCTCACTTCTAACACCATATGTCGACAGCACTAACTGGCTACCATATTCATACCATATGTCGACAGCACTAACTGGCTACCATACACACACCATATGTCGACAGCACTAACTGGCTACCATACTCACACCATATGTCGACAGCACTAACTGGCTACCATACACACATCATATGCCGACAGCACATACTGGCTACCATACTCACAAGATATGTCGACAGTACTAACTGGCTACCATACTCACACCATATGTCAACAGCAATAACTGGCTACCATACTCACACCATATGTCGACAGCACTAACTGGCTACCATACTCACACCATATGTCGACAGCACTAACTGGCTACCATTCTCACACCATATGTCGACAACCTGGCTACCATAACTAACTGGCTACCTGTACTAACTGGCTACTACATTCTCACACCATATGTCGACAGCACTAACTGGCTACCATATTCACACCATATGTCGACAGCACTAACTGGTTACCAGACTCACTTCTAACACCATATGTCGACAGCACTAACTGGCTACCAGCCTCACTTCTAACACCATATGTCGACAGCACTAACTGGCTACCATATTCATACCATATGTCGACAGCACTAACTGGCTACCATTCTCACTTCCATCACCATATGTCTATATATATTCTCCACTAAACAACAATACAGCATGGTGATCGTGTAATGTTTATTGAAATCTTGACAACATCATGGACATAGGGAATATTAACATAGGAAGATAATACATATATGCTCAATTACAGAAAAACACTATACAAGCTTGTAGAGGAAATATATACAGTGTAAACACGGGATGGAGAAGGCAAGTTAATATATGACCCTAGATCATAGTTGTATACAGTCTTGTCGTGGCATGGAAGTTATGGACAGTATCAGTCACGTGGACACTATTGACAGTATCAGTCACGTGGAGACTATTGACAATATCAGTGACGTGGACACTATTGACAATATCAGTGACGTGGACACTATTGACAGTATCAGTGACGTGGACACTATTGACAGTATCAGTGACGTGGAGACTATTGACAGTATCAGTGACGTGGTATCAGTGACGTGGAGACTATTGACAGTATCAGTGACGTGGAGACTATTGACTGTATCAGTGACGTGGACACTATTGACAGTATCAGTGACGTGGCGACTATTGACAGTATCAGTCACGTGGCGACTATTGACAGTATCAGTGACGTGGACACTATTGACAGTATCAGTCACGTGGACACTATTGACAGTATCAGTGACGTGGACACTATTGACAGTATCAGTGACGTGGAGACTATTGACAGTATCAGTGACGTGGAGACTATTGACAGTACCAGTCACGTGGCGACTATTGACAGTATCAGTCACGTGGAGACTATTGACGGTATCAGTCACGTGGAGACTATTGACAGTATGAGTCACGTGGAGACTATTGACAATATCAGTCACGTGGAGACTATTGAGAGTATCAGTCACGTGGAGACTATTGACAGCATCAGTGACGTGGAGGGAATTGTCACAGTACAGAAAACAAATTCCACGGAAAACATCGAATACCTAGTTTACCTGTGAGAGGGCAAGAAGCAGCAATGCAGCGTCGTCACGAAGAGGAAAAAAGTTGTCCTTAACTTGTTGCATGTCTTTTCATAAAGAAGGAAATACATTCTTTAATAGGTCTAAACTTCAAAACGTACACAATGTCTCATGTTAATGTACGTGTCGTGTAACACATGACATAACGTCACCATGTCAACAAACCCGGTTGTTAGCTGCCTAAACCGATTCCAGTGGTAACGATAGTCCCTCCTAGCAGCACCTGTCCTGAAGACCTCGTGTACACACCAGTAAGAGTATATAGTGGACAAAGTGTAGCATGGTGGATAAAGTAGCATATGTTCAAAATAGACAATTGTATTAAAAAGAATTACCAGTGTAAACAATCACAGCGGGATATGGGTTCGTTTGAATAATTCAGTCGATAAATCGAAGATTCTCTGTTATTCATGCATAAAATCTAAAACCCTTAAACAACATGTACTCTGAACATGATAACACACTGTGCATTGTTTCATGGCCATAATGAAGCACTAATGAAAACTGTTAGCTTAACTACAGGTTAAGGCATAGCGCATGATGAATACACTAGGCAGATATATGTACAAATATACAGACTATAGTATACACTGCAGAAAGGCGAAAGGAACAATTATGCTTGTATTCAAAGCTGAACTGTTACTGCTGTCCGGTGTTTCGTTAATATATCAAGTAATGCCGCATTGAAACCGACTCAACTCCATAACATACTGAGAACATCCCGGCTCGTTCAGTTGTTACTGGGTCTGGGTTGGGTCGGGATACAGGGGTGGAGGTGAAGTTGAGGGGCTGTGGGTTAGGGGTTGTGGAACGCATGTGTATCTCAGACCTCCTTGAGAGCACGAAGGATGCAAGTTCGAATAAAACTTAAAGTAAACCTCATATAAACTTAATTCTGTCATATTTCATTAAAATATCACTCACTAACGTATTTACCTTGTATTCCTGTCACCTTGATTATATTATCATTTGTGAATATATATTGTACTTTTCTCACGTACCACCGCTGGTGGCTTCACAAACTGTGAAACTGAGAAGACTGGGTGAATGGTCAAGGGGGTGGGTGTAGAGTTGAGGGGCGGGTGAAGGGTCAAGGGGGTGGGTGACGGATTGTGGGATGACCTCAGTTTATAACGTTATTACCTGTCTCACCATACCAGTACAGGAATCGAAAGTGAACATGCGTTCTCTGATTGAAACATTGAAATAAGTACAGATTACTCACATAAACCGTCGACCCTACCATTTGTGCCTACCCCGTTATATCAAGTGGTCCTCGCTATAACACCGAGCGCAGATGTGACACACACCTGCTGAATATCTGCCTCTATTTAGAACACATCTCCAAGTCAGTTAACTCGTATAACTTCATAAATTAAGGAGGAATATCAATACATTCAAAACTTTTGTATGTTCGATATAAACTTCGTATGACATGTTGAAACGGGCGTTACCACAAACAATTACAATTAATAACTTTGGTAGAGTATACCGTATGATCAAAATTAAATTATTATTTCTCGCCTAACGTAATTGTCAACTGTAGCAGGTATGTATATTTATGTCATTAATATCCTCCCTATTTGCTACCCTGATCACCACGTTACATAACTCGCTATATCGTCACATCAGTATATACGCATCACCCTCAGTATTACAAGACATTTCTATCTTCACCTTCAACGATGTATAAATGTGAAAATAGTCATCCCTGGAACACCTAAGATGGCAAGGAGACGTTTGTAGATTGTACACATGGTATTTAGGGGAGCCTAAACAGCTCGTGCACAAGAACAGTGCTCTTTTCTGGGTGCTGGCCCAGTGACGCTTAGCGTATCCAGCTGCCACGCTGAATCACGTGACCGTCTCAGATAAGGGTGTATCCTTCTAATCCTGTACTGACACAAACATGGGCTTTGATTGGACAGGTCTTCGGCTCTTCTTCTGGGGGATTCACACTCCGCCTGGTCAATGCTGGCGTTCGGACACATGACCGCTGATGCGTCGTCTGCCAGCTGCTGGCGACAGTTGCAATAAGGTTGCCCGTTGTAGGGGTTCTGCCGAGTCCACACCCTGTCGCACTGGCCCATGATTGAGTTGCAGCGTCTGAACTTTTTGCATGCTTGTCTGGTCGTCAAAGGTCGAGATTCGTCGTAGATGCTGAAAGATGAACCAGGTGGCAATGAGAAAACCATTAGTTTTACGCCGCACTCGTCAATATTCCAGCTATATGGCGGCGGTCTGTAAATAATCGAGTCTGGACCAGAGAATCCAGTGATCAACAGCATGAACATCAATCTGCGCAATTGGGAACCGATGACATGTGTCAACCAAGTCAGCAAGCCTGACCACCCGATCCCGTTAGTCGCCTCTTACGACAAGCATGGATTACTGAAGATCAATATTCTAGCCCGGACCTTCACGGGTGACAGAAGAAATGGTTGTGTTGGGTGTGGCGCCGTTTTTAACAACATTTCAGTCATTCTGGTTGTATGTTGTGTAAGAAAACACCGTTGGTAGACTGTAGCACTGAATCTGGAATCCTCATGGGGTACGAAAGTAAACATGCAAAAATATCTTTGAATATTCATCTACTATTAACAAATGGCGTCTTCTGTCGCGGTGTTTCGATGCGGTGGTTGCCCTTTAAAACTTCAGGATACACAAGGAGCTTATGGGGCATGGAATACATATGATCATCACAACAGGAATCAATACAGCTGTAGGGGGTACTGTTATCACGATAAAAACACGGGCGCATGGTCAGGATATGCGAGAAGAGCGAGTCCGGTTTGAACTCTTTATGAAGATTGTTCCACCGTCATGTCAGTGTTTCGGGTTTTACAATCAGCGGATCCAGTCGATTCGCCTGTCGCGTTAGTTATCTAATCACATATTCACGGTTTTGTTTGACGATCTAGACCCATGCTCGAGGTAAAAGCCTCAGTTATATTTCTGATCTTCACGTTTTACATTTCACCATATAGTGAAACCAAACAATTCCCAACTGAAGACCCTTTCATCGCCGACCCCGTGTGTTTCCGATGGAAAGTGTTTCATCTGTGTTCTAAACCCAAAGAAAACTTTTATATTCCCGAGGGAGGGGACATAACTCGAACTAGGCTGGAATTATGGATGTATATTTTGGCTGGACAAACGACTCTTTACACACCCCAGTCAGAGCCGGGTAACGAAATAGTCATCCGGGTCATAGAAAACTGTCGGTTGCAGGCTTTGCAGAGAATGTGAACCGTCAATTGGCTTAGGCAGATATTTCCAGAATATTTTCATGATATTTATTACAGTTGTCAAATGACTTGATAAATTTGTCAAAGTTTAGATCCGTTTTATTGCGATAAAGATCTTGATGATCGATCAGATCGTTGTGACTGGGCTCCCCCACTGTGTGTGAAGTTAACGCATGTGATATGAAAGATAGACTCTGATTGGTCAATAGACACAGAAGGGTCATAGATAATAATAGCCACTGGTCGAGCCACAATCGAGCCATGAAATCCCAGCCTTGTTAAGCAAGGGTGTAACTTCACTTTCACAACCAGTTATCTGCCTTCGGGAAGATGGGAAAAGTCTAAAACAACATAAAAATCAAGAAACGGCTGCAAAATATACTTGCCGGCGTAAGCCTTGTAGAAAAACCAAGAGCGAGGTACCGTAGATAGAATATAGAATATTCAAAGTTTCTATTTATACAGAGAATATTTTTTAAGTATTCTGTACACATTTCAAACACTTGCTATGTTTAGTAACAACAAACTGCCATTGGAATCAGGCCGATGCCAAAATATAGCACGTGACTGCGACTCCGGGGCAAAAGGTCACGAATTGTATTTGGTTTAATTACTCACATGGATTTCACTTTTAACATTTTGGTCAAACATAATCAAATATCGTAAACTGCCTAACCGCTGATAAAGTGTCTACTTTAAAACCACTGTCAGAATTATCAGGCACTGAATACGATAATCTGATTCATCTACAGTTGCCTTCATGTATCTGGTACTGTTACCTTGGTTGTTGGTAGTTATCGAGTAATAACGCATCCACTGAATAACACTAAAATATCGAAAGGGAATACTTAATCTTTGAATTTTCTACAAAGTTTTCATCAAGGATAAAATTGTTATCCATACAATGAATGCTGTCCTTTCCTCAGAGATCAACCATATCCGAGGGATAACCAAATGGGGTTTCAGTGTAAGTTAGGACTCTGGCTTCATTTGTTCACATGATAAATTGAGTTTGCATGTCCTGGTTGGTGACGGTTTGTTCTTCACAGGTTTCACAGTGTGGAATACAAGCTTGTTCATACACAATTACTTACGGGCATCGTGAACTTTGACAGACCGGTTGATCCTCTGCATCTAGTTGGACTGTCTGGTTTCCTTCACACGCCGTCTCTGTAGGTGTATGAAAAACATAATTAACAATTTATAAGGTTTGTGTAGCATTTGTGGTTTTTATTCTTAGTTACACTGCATTTCAGTTCTCAATTTCACAGAACAGAGCAGGTTGCAGAGGATGTGGGTAAAACGTTACTATACTTGTAATGAACAAGAAAGAAGCATAAGAAGGTCTTTATGAATATCGAAATCTGCCAACGTGACACGGACAAATCTATTACATTTAAAGTACCATTGTTTTATGTTGTAGTCGGTATCAGTCGAATAGGTTGGCACTTTCTTGAGATCAATAGTTGTACACGTGTATAAAGGTATCCGTTGCATATTGTAAAATCAAAGGAAGGAACCTATCACAAAACAACCAATCACTTCCCTACTGTTGTTTCATTAGGCGATGTATGGACAGTCACTGTACATATGTACAGTCACGGCCTATGTGGTTGTTCTTTATACTGCCAACATGTGTATAATGCTGTATACTATCTGATGGAACATATCATGGTCCAAGAATCTTGCTGAAATATCTGGCCCGGTCAATATCAAATATTCACGCGTAAC